AGAGAGAGAGAGAGAGAGAATGTTTTACGGAGCAGGTTGTTTCAGCAAGTGAGACATGTTTAGTTTTAGAAGAGGTTTTACGGCGCTTGCAACTGCATAAGATCATATGAGCGCCCGAAGATTAGAGGTGTTACATGAGAGTAGCAAAAATAAAAAAGAAGAAGGGCAATAAGGACGATAGATGTTTGACGGGAAAGAAGAAACAAACAACACCAGAGTACCCTCCAACCGCCCACAATGAGACGTGTACCGTATTTACTAATGTCCTGTCTTGTTGTGCGTATGCGTGAGTGCACCTTACTGTCATTGTAAACGACCAAAACAAATTTCTCTCTCGAGATGAATAATTATTGTCATTTTCATTGTCAATGCCATAAATAACTCATGATGACCGAAAATGAACACATGTTGTTCGTGTTCGTTTGTCTGTTTGTTTGTTTTCGTTTGTCTGTTTTTAATCACTTTGTTTGGGTGTTTGTTTTCTTATTTTCTAATACAAATAACAACGAGCAACTGGTCCTCATGATGTAGTAGTTAAACACTACCATTTAAATCACACTGAAGGCGGGTTTCGACCCTGTCTGACAACTTCCAGGCAATGCTAACCTGGGCTGAGACGGATACAACACCTCAGCACAAAGACCGAGATATTTGATACAGATTTTCTCCCAACTCGGAAATCGAACTCGGATTTCCCACACACACACACACACACACACACACAGACAGGCGGGGGGGGGGGGATTGTTGTGACACCAATAATGATACGTTATACGTGCATAGAACCGGAAATGCGTCTGACACACGCAAGTACGTTAAGGTCATATCCGGGATCTCGATGTCACTGGCTCAGGACATGTTGGGAGGGAAGAAAGCCGTCAGTTTCACAGAATGTCACAGCGGAAAAGGCTTTAATGAAACGACTTCGTTTTTTTCCCTTTAAAATACAAAAACAAAATACTGCCGACTTCATCGTTTGAGCTAAGTGAAGTACAACGACACAACAACGATCATTTCGTGCGCGCGGGGAAACCGTAATTCAGACAGGCATAAACAAAAGAGGGGAAGAAAGGAAGTAGGACCTACCCCTACTGTAACTGGCGAACCCTTTAGCCACCCGCTCGGTTTTGTAGCAGCCACTTAAGCTTCCGTAGAACAAAGAAATGCCTGTCTGTACGAGGTGTAAAAGATCCATAATCCGCTTAGTGCACAGAGAGTTGTCAGCCAAAGGGGTATAAATGTTGAATATCTGCACAACACAAACCTTCTTTATTTTTAAAAAAAGGTGGAAATAACACTAAGTGACCACAGCCACCCGCTGACATCGGAATTTCAATTATTGACCCACAGTAAACGATATATTTCCAAAAAAGCAAGAAAAACAGATATTGAAATTCATTCGTACCAACTGCAGTGAGGTTACTAAACACACTGTGCTACAAATGAAACAGAGAGAGAGAGAGAGAGAGAGAGAGAGAGAGAGAGA